CTTTGAAATTTTCTTATTTATTTGGCAGAATTTACAGTAACTTCACTACATTCATGATATTATGTAATACAATATTCGTCCATTCAAACCAAATTAATTTTTAAACGTAGTCAGAATATTGATTTTAATATTTTATATTACATTTATTATTTATATACCTATGAGATAGTAGTTTTGAGCATGACAAAAATGTTATAATTTACTATCAGTCGATTGGTTTTTTTATCAGTGCATTTACGTGATAAACAATAAACGACATTAAAGTTCAAAAGTTTCATAAAAATATAAAATGTAAATTCAGTAAATTCCAAGATAGAATTAATTCAGCAACGGAAGGTGTATCAAAGGGAAACTGTTTCGACAATAAACGATTTCTAAACATGTATGATAATATAACGCAGATAATGAAGTAAAGGTACCTACCACCTAACGTGATATAATAATATGCGTACCTACCTATATTATAATATTACTGTTATAACAGCCTCGGTCATAGGTAATATTCCCTTTAAAACTACAACCTATGATATCATAATTTATTAGTTAGGTAATAGTTAATAACTATAGATTCCTATAGTTCGGTAAGATACATACTACCTATGCACATGATACATATACAGTGTATGAATTATAATAATTAATATAAGCTGTTTAATTGTTCATACAAATATAGGTTATGTACCACTATGGTTAAGTTAGTTAGACTTTATCGTTTATCAGTGATATTTGAAAACATTTTTAATATAATTAATAACATATATATAAATCCGAATGATCTTATCGTGTTTCTGTTCCGTTATATTCTCTTTGAAATAAATAATATTAATCTAAAACTACTTGAAAATACCACCACTTTATTTATAAATCTCATTTTTGACGACGACATTTTAATCGAATAAGAAACATAATATTGGTTAAAAATAAAATGTATATACAAATACTGAATAACACGTGTTCGCAATAAGCTAAACATAGATTTTATTTGCATTTACACTTTGGCATAAAAACTTGCGTATGGCCAACTTTTGTTGTTATATTACTGTATGCAGAATGCAGATAGTAAAAACTGTGTGTCTCGTGTATAAAATATTACCGCCAAGCAGTATAATACGTATCATATATTTGTATAAAAGCAATTTAACATTTACGATACACAAATTGAGTAATGAATCCCATTATCACATTGGTCCTGTTTCTATTTGTAGCTAATGTAATGTTTTTGAAAACAAGTTCATTTACCTAACATATTCATAGAACCTATATATTATACATTTATACCTTTATTTAACTAATAACTGTAGTAAACTGTACATTTTATATATTATTATCATCACTAGATACATGTCGTAGTAAGTTGTGTTAGTGGTCTGTAGTAGCCACTAGGTATATATATATATATATTTTTTTTTTAAATGGCATTTCGTATCGCATAATATTTTATGCTTCTAATGTAAAATAATATAATTTATATGTCTTAATAATAAATATTTAGGCGTAAAGAAGTATAACGTAGGTATAATATATATTATTTTATCATTGTTATCTTTTTTGCATATTTTAAGATTACAAAAAAAATATATTAATATTATGCACTTTTATTATTTGCGTGTAGCATTATATTTCAATCTGAAACTATACATCACTATATACCTATTCACCTTTAATGGTGCTGTTGGAAGTGTATTTCATGAAAAATAACTGATTATAATAATATTATATTACAAATTATAATAATTATTGTTTTAAATTAATTGAATTAAATCATAATAAATAATGATACATTTATACCTATGTATTATAACATACCTATAAAGCATATTTAGGGTTTATATTCCACTATCAAATATTTATTAAATTATATTAGTCAAAGATTATTAATTTTATGTACAGATAGACAAATCAATAATACTATAATATAGTCTATGGATAAATGCAAAAAGATGGAGTCTCGCCCTTTGTGACTTGCGCCGACGATATGCATGTTCTACATTTCTACTTCATCCAATGTTTCAAAATGGTCTGGATTCATTATAGGCACAATTTGGGAGGACTTAATGTTAATTTTAGCCCCCTTCAAAAAATGTGTATCCTTCATTAATTATCTAATTATCCATTATATATAATAGGTGGATTCAAAAAAATATTTTATCTTAAGACTATCGACTTAGAAGTTATCATACCCTAAAACACCCTACTTATTAAATTATTTTTTTATTTATACTATTGTTGTGCCTAATAGGCAGTAGTGGGGCCGAAAGAAATTAAAGCTGGCAGTTGAAAGAGTTCAATTGAAACGGGCTTAATCAATTATATATAAATAATTTTATAACATATCTGTGTCTAATACAATTATAACAGAGAGGCTAGGAAGTATTCCCTATTATTTTACCCACCCGATACACAACTACCTAATTTTTAAGGCAATTCTATTTAACACCTGAAATACGTGATCGGCGCCACTGTTGCCTATATTAATTGACGATTTAAAGGATCTCATGCAAAATTAATAATTATATTATGCAGATACAATATAATATGAGCATTAAGTAATGTTATTTATTTTTTAAACTAATGATTTCTTAAGACAACGAAGACAACCGTCTAATACATTAATGGGAATGTAATATTAATTTAATATTTACTTTAACTACACTTGTAAAATATTTTATAATATTATGTTAAATAAATAAATTGTATTGTTTCTAGGAATCAAACAGGTACTTACTCTCGTTTTAATTTGTTTTGTACAGTGGTTTATGAATACCATTAAATGCAATTATGTGTCTAGACAACTCTAATATTTCATTTCTCAAATTAATGAAGAATGCATACAGTATTGCGTACATACATAGTATAGGTTTTGCAGAATTGAACAAGTCTTCTATCAATTAGCTATAATTTATTAATATTATTACTATCTCGTTACCTAGATCATTTTATTTCAGTTAATAAGAATTAACAGTCTAATATGGTACATATATTATGGAATTTGTTGGAATAGATTTTTAGAATTGCTAACTCTGGCTATCAGAACAACCTATCTTAATCGAACAATAATGGTTATATTATGGTCATTCTTTTATTAATAAGATTTAATATATTTCCCTGTGCTCCAAGGACTACAAAACTAATTCACAACTCACAACTCTGTACTCGTTAATGATGTTTATTATTTTGTGCAGGGTAGTGACGTAGTGTAGGGACTAATTTTATGTTACATCGTAAACACTTAAGTATCCATCTCTAAAAAATTATTTCATGAAGAATAATTATAATCAACAAGAGAAAAAATGATTCGTAACTACGTTTGATAAAATTATTATTTTGGAAGCTTAAAAATATGTTGAGAGAATAAACGGTTTTTGAACTTAAGTTCGTGTAACAAGTTTAGAACACTAAATTGCATTTTTATTATTTGTTACTCCTATAGTCTTATCTATAATTTATTGAAATAACATTATTGATAATCAATACCTATTATTTTACCTACCCACAGCCATTTAATAACCAAAAAAGTTTGCTTTCTTTAAAAAAAATTTTCAAAATGAATTATTGATACTAATTTTGAATATTAGGTAGGTACCTACTTACGTATTAGGTATGTATAGGGTATGTATCACTAATGAGTTTTCTAAATATCCGTTTCAATGTTTTATTTGTAGGTAGGTATGTGAATTTAAAACATCTTCAAATAGAAAAGGTGCAACAATTAATATTGATGTAAATAATAGCATTATTTTTACTATACTTATAATGTAAATATAGTCTTAAGATGCAGAAGTTAGTATATATATAAATATATAGAAAATATTTATTTATTTATTTATAGTAAATCCATATATACAATATGTATCAATGTATAATAGCTGTACATAAAAGTAAATCATTACATATTCATAACCTTCACACGAAATACAAAATTAGGTAATTTATAATAGATATGTACTGAGTCTTAGATCTTATAGGATGTTTATCTATACATATTATTAGGTATGCTGATTTAGTGTTAAATACATTGTGAAAATAATTTTCTATTTGCGATATTCCTGAGAAAAAAAACAATTAAAATCGAAAAATATCTCCCAATGTGTTAAGAAATAAGTAATAACGAAATATATTATTATTTGTCTAATAATGGATAGTTAATTATAATTATTAAAGAAACATTAAAGACGAAAATAAATTTTTTGAAAATAATTTATGCAAATAAATTATTATTTACAAATATATATTTTTTTGATAATATTTAAAAACTCTGGTTAAGTGGGTACATAAGCGCCAATAAGTACCTTTACGTATAACTACTTAATATATTAATAAAGTCAATTTTAAAAACACATAATATAAAATTCACTGTTTAATTTTTTCAACTCAAAAATACAATTTTAAAAATAAAAACACTGAATGATAATAAATAACAAAATTATAATAATAATAAAAAAAAGAAAACAATTTTTTTATAATGAAGTACAGTTTTCAAAACACAATATTAACGCAATAATGTATATAGACGTCATGCCGGCATTATAACGGGAGTACCTAATACATATTTTTTAATTTGATTTTAATGAAAGCTTATGATCAAAATTTACTAATTTTTTTGTCAAATATTTAATCTAGGTACCTTAAATGTAAAATGCTATATTGTTTAATATCTGAAATAATAATTAATATGTGCTAAAATATATATACTATAACATTAGTAGTACTGTTGTTAATTCAATTACGTACCTAATAAATCATGCATAATAAGAATAATGTATTCAACTAGAATATTATATTTCAGTGTATATGAATGTACATATCCCATGGAAATTAAATTTTTTTTTTTTAATTTAAAATTTAAAATGATTAAATTACCTAGGCATTGTTATAAAGTAACTAAATATTTAACTTGGAAAATTGTGAATTTAATAGTAGGCACCGACTATATAATTATTCCCTAATACAACATAAAAATTAACAAACCATAAAATGTAATTTTACTTTCAATCAAAATAATATTTATTGTTTTTTTATAAATAGGTAGGTATTCAATATTAGTTATTTGTTCTTGTTATAAACGGATCGTTAATTGTGTACAAATAATTTAAAACTCTAGTTCATTAGTATCTCGTAGGTCTCTGTACAACATTTATAATGTAAAAGTATATTACTATACAGTTTATAACAATTATTATGATACACAGAGGTACATATAAACTATGCTAAATAGTAAATACTACCAAAATATTAAAATAAATGTTGTGTAAAACGGTTTAAGTGGTAAAATACTAACGTATATTATAATGTATAATAATATGATTTATCATCAAGGACGTCTGCAGAAGCTCATTGAGGCTAAACATATTTCAGAATATTTGTCTAAGACACTAATATGTATAAATATAGTCTTATAAAAAGCATACTATACAAATTTTAAATCGGCATATTGGAATCTACATTTTCAGTTAAACATCAGATTATTTGTGTAAAAGCGGATGATGATTAATAATGATCTATAAGTTCCATTGGATAAAAGAAAGTTTTAATTTTTTGGTGGAAAAATGTCCCGTATGACCTACATCTGAGTACCACTTTACATAACAATGACATATGTATTTAAATTTAAACATAAAAACCATCGGCAAAAACATCGATTCAACTGCAGTTTAAAAAAAAATACAATGAAGTAAGTAAATATAAGAATAAACTCATTTAAACATTACAATTTATTAGCATAGTAAATTTGTGAATTAAGATAATACTAACATAATTTTATTTATACCATGTTTCAAACTTTAACAATTTTAATCGTAAAGGGTTGGTTTGTTTGTATATTGATTTAAGTTCAACGAAATATATAGTTGTAATATTGTATTATTGTCATAAGTTTACTTCTTATGTGCGAGGAACTGATTACAACAACAAGCAGTAATCAGACGATGTTCTCGGCAAGTATTTGAGTGAAGAAAAGTACAATCCGCGAATTGACATTCATTTGGTAAATCTGTATCTGAAAAAAATAATAAATAAAATATATGTATCATCTTTAATCAAATAGGTCTACAATTGTTGATAGTAAATATTAAGGGACACAATCTATTTAGAAAATCTACAGTCTTCGAGTAGGTATGCAAAATAAAAAGTCACATTTTGCCAAAATAATGAAATACTACAATTTTATTATTATTATTTTGGACATTTTATTGCAAATATTTCATTTTTAGATCAACATTTTTTTATCATATCAAACTTGATTTAATTTGTATTATGTTTTGGTAGTTTACATGATCTTTGTTCAGCAAATCCATTGAAAAACAACAAACAACAATTTTCTAAAAACATAGTAGTCTTCATAATGAAATATTGAAATGATAAGCATTTCACCAAAAACAACCATAAAATTATGTTTGACCTCATAAAAAAAATTATATAGACAATAAGAATTAATGAAAAATGTATTGTAGTAAGAAATGTTAAAAATTAAAAATTTCTAAGTTAATTAATTGCAAATTTTGTTTTTGATAGTTAGTTCTTAAAGACTAAAGTCACCTTGATTGTCTACGTATATAGTTTGACATTGGCACGTGTCATAAGTCCAATGACGTCATCTCTTAACTGACCTGGACAATATTCCAAAATTGACTTCTATATCTAACGACTATTCTCAAGTCAATATTTACAAGATATTTTTAATTGTTAAATAACTAACTTATCTAAAGTTTTTGTTGTACGTTTAATTTAAAAACCGATTATTTTTTAAGTTCAACCTCAAAATTCACATTTTTTTTAGATATTTTGAGTATTATATAGTGTGTACCTATTTTAAATTTATTTTTATTGTTAAAACATTATGAATTATACCACTCAAAATAATAATCAACAAACTAAAATATATTGCATTAGTTAATTAATAACATATATTTTCTACAGTGAAAGTTATACTTTTAGTTTCCATATTAATATATTATGTGCCTTCCAACTTTTATTACTCTGTTCAAAATGTATTTATTATTTATTAGTTATGTATATAATAATATGTAAAGTTTATTTTAATTATATTAAAGATTTATATATTATAGGATAAAACAAATTTAAGAATAAGTATAATACGACACTCGAATCCCTTAAACTGTATATATTATACATTATAGTGTTAGTTTTAAAATAATTTTTTTTATTACCAATAAAATTTAATTCATTGAGGTAAAAAAAATGTACTGATTTTTTTTAGAAAATAACGTTCTGAGAATGTAACTATTTCACACGTTTTACTTTCACGAGTACGAGATAAATATGTTTTCGTCACAGCCATTCCAATGTACATATAATAAATTAAAATTTTTAAGTAGCTCTTATATACACCATAATAATATTATTAAACCGTAAGAAAAAATGTATAACGCATAACAATGAGCTTAAGTCATCGATTATCTGAGCTCACAGCTATGATTGAAGATAAATAATATAAAATAAAGTTCCTTTACAGTGTGTGTAGACTATAATATTATTATAGATGTATAATAAACATATTATACAGACTGCAATATGTAAAGGTGATCGTGCAAGTCAATGCACAATATACATAAGCGATACATTGTAATGTAGTGTGAGTAATTATAATGATATTTATTAAAATCGAATTCTATATAGTATAGGCCACCTCCCATCGGAACACGTTCAAATAATCAATTGGGCTTTTGGTCAAAATTGACAACAGATAGTAATAATAATCGCATAGAGTGATAGTCGTGCTCGACGTGCCATTTAAGCCAGAACAATGTTAACATAGGGTGATCACTTTAAGTTTTAACGGTAAACCCTCGAATATCAAAAGTATGTGTAATAGAATTAATAACTGATAACGTTTTTGAAAATATTTTTTTTTTACATAATACGGCATTTTGTGAAATTGTATTACTACAGTTTTTTAAGTTTTTATTTTTTTAAACGACAACATACGAGTATACATTTTTTTATCATTTTCTGAGCCAGAATTCTTCACTGTAAATGTTTACGTATTCAAGTACAACTTCGCATTAGTTTTTAAAATTTAGATGCGCAGAGGAGTACGTGGACATCTCTGAACATCACGTTTTCACTCAGCTGATTAACATTTAAAAAACTAATTTATGAGTTAAACCTAATTAAATACTCAGACAAATCAATTTGTACAATTCTCAGAAAAATGATCAATTTTGGAGTAGGAAATGAAAAAATTAAAATATAAGTTGTAATGAGTAAAAAAAAAACAAAAAATGAAAAAACGTCAATCCTTTTTGATATTATGAGTGTTTAATTGTCAAAATAATCACCCGGTATACGTATATACGTCGGTCGTACGTACGATTCGTGTCACCGCACTAATTTGTCGTGGCAAATATTATCGTAGTAATATCAGTTATGTCCCAGAGTTTTTTGACTGTTTTGAGTGTGCACTTAAGCGACAAACATCACGTACAACTGTACAAGTATTATATTATGTACGTCGGGACACGCGTATATACTTAGGTATATATATATTTTAAATATACAATGTAATTTTGCACATAGTAAATAGCAGGGAGACAACTCCGATTACTTTGTCGCGAGGTATAGATATAGGTACACGTCGTATGTGCCCACAATCTGTTAGGTATATTATATAATATTATAGTGTATAATGCCTACACAGACGATACGCACAGTATAACAATTAATGACCTACCGAACTGGTAACTGCGTTGTACGTGTTACCATACGTCACAACGTTGTACAGGCTTAAGGCGGGTTTCCTCTGTACAAGGTTCTATTAAATCCTCTGATGTGATTGGTCGATTAGGTAAGGTTATCACGCGATTAACCAAGTTACCGTGTTTTTGGTCATAGCTGAACATCTTTCGTGTACACGGTTCACGCGTATTGTTCAGGGAGCCCTCCTTTAACGTAGTTTTTCGAATTTGTTTTTTTCGAGCTGTGCTTGGGGGACATTGCCCATATTATTATGATGATATAATATTACACGAGTACACGATGCGTTTTATACACATTACTTCTCGCGAAATTCGCTTTATTTCCAAACCACGATGCATGCTAACATGCTATATTATATCTACTTTATTACTTCGTTGAGTGTTTGAGACGTAATGCTCAAGACGATTCTCCTTTAGTTGGTGGCATTAGAATGTATTTTTTTTCTCTTACTCGAGATTCAGGAGATACCTACAATTTTTATCGTCAGCACGTTTCAACGTTTTGCACCATGTTTATACTATACTATGACTGGCTAATGGTTATAAGTATTAACTAACAAGTATATAGGTAGTAGCTATATCAATGATGGAAAAATATTGAAACTTAAAATGCTAAAAAAACAAAAGAAATAGTTAATAGAATAAATAATTATGTAAAGTTACATAAGATGGAAAAATACGTAAATTATGAATGTTTTGAAGTGTAGTTTAATTATCAGTGGCTTAGCCAGGGGGTGCTGGGGTGTGCTGTAGGTCTCTCTCGACATTTTAAAGAAATAAAAAAAATACTTCAATGGACCATGGAAGTTACTGAAAGTACAAATGTGTATTGCAGTGCAGGAACGGAAACCTAAAATAAGACCTTGGCATCAGTATGCTAAGCCAGAGAGCCTTAAGGCTATATTAAGGCTCTCTTCACTAAACTTTTGGGCGACCCTAGTTAAACCAACTTTGTGTAAACACATTATTAGCCCCCTTCCCAAAGAAAAATCCTGGCTAATCCACTGTCTCTCATATAGTCATATTATATACATTTAAATTTATATTTTATTTAAACAAAATTAATAAAAGCTCAAAGTATGATAAATCGCCATATTATAGTCGTCTTTCACAGATATTCCCATTTTAAGTAGGTAGTTAAACTGTGGAGGTGGTGTTTGGGGAATATGCATTAATAGTTATAGGGGGGTACAATAGTAACAGGTTTCAAATGCGTGGTAGCATTCTGGAATACGTGGAAGACATCGTACTCTCGGAACCGCATTAACATTTTTAGATCATTCAAGATATTTCCATATCTATAGTAAAGTCTATACATTATTTTAAATTATAATAAATGATCAAACGATTGCAGCGCCTGCTTTTGAATAGTTAGTCAACCCATTCAAAACTATTTCAGGGAAATTCAGCTTTGGTAGTTGCAGTACGTATAGAAAACTGCACATTGGATTTATGATAATATGAAAACTATAATAATAATATTATGCTCTTCGCCCTTCGGGTGCATAAATTATGATGGATTTGATAAATCACATAATATACGCATGATAATATCATATTATACAATATGTCAATATATATAATATTATATTATATAATAGAATGTAGACATTGGTAGGTACTCGAACAAGTGCATAACGCCATTTGTCCGGAAGACACTTGTTCATCGCCGTTGAGTGCTGACGACAATATTATTATTGTTGTTATCGTGTCGATCGTTGGCCGTGAGAACCGTTACAATGCTACGCATGCAATAGCAGTTACACGGCGGTAGGTATTTAAAATATTATTGCAAGCGGTGTGGTATGTACCTTAAGGTACCTATGCATTCAAGACGCAATGGAATCGCGGTTCACAGCCATGTCGTCTGTCGTGCCGTGTGCCTTTCATCGCGTTGTGATTGGCCGTTGTAATCATGATATTATGTGATATCATTTACAATAACTATACGATCTACCGGGAAATTTAAAAAGATTGCACAGCTTTAGGACACGGCAGTCGACGTAGCTTTGAACACGACTATGGAAGAGCCGACAGCGATAGTTTATACTTTATCCGATCGTAATTTTTATTATTTTGTACACCGACGAATAAAATTGAAATAAAATAATCAGTGTGTTTGATATAATACATGTTGGTGTTTTAAAAACAAAGCATCATCAACATATTTAGGTTTTATTAAACAGTGTTAATTATTGTCTTGTACTAAAAAATCTATAGTTTTCTCTTAGTTCATACGGTCTCAACTTGAATATGCTGCCGTTATTTGGTCACAATCCCT